GTGGAGGAATCAAACTGAAATATTAGGAGAGCAAGACTGCTGTTATGCTTTGTGTGTGATTCTTCTCATTAACTCTTCCCTTCAGGTCCACTTTTTCCCCCCTACTTGTCCTTGATACATTCCAAAAGGAATGAAGATGGTCCTTAATCCAAAACAAGGTTACCCAGTCATAATTTTGGATGGCTGGAGACTGGAGTGGAGATGGGGTTATTTAACTGTTCTTCAGAATGCTATCACTGGAATGTTCTTCATTTCTTCTTCATGATTAATCTTCTTCAAGATTAGTCCTCTGTAGGATTAATCTTCTTCCTTTCTCCAGTACACTGACCATCTTTCTCTGTTCTTGAACCCAAGGAAACAAACTGTGCACCACCTTCACTTCACAAGCAAACTAGATATTCATTAAGCATGCATGCGTGTGTATGTGGTGTAAATTTCCAAGTTGAGTTCATCCTGGAAATAGAAAGCCTCCTATCAATTCTCTTTAAATACTATGTCAGACTTCAGCCTTTGATGTAAAATAATGCAACAGACTCTCCTTTACTAAACTGTTCATTATATTTTTCTCTGTAGCTGAGAAAAGCAGTCATGAAACCCAGCTGTTAAAACTTAGCTGGATAAGGCCGTTTAAAATATGAACTGAAAAGCTTTTCCTTTTCATCAGAATTCAGAACAGAATAGATTTATTTTATAAGAAGCCCATGAAAGGCAAAAAACCCTTTTGGTCCTATAGAAACCCCAAAACAGGACAACAACTGGTTCTGTGGGATTGCAAGTTTTTTGAAAACATACATTGCAAGATTGGTCACAAACACCAAAGTGATGGTTTCAGGTAGCAGATCACACCATTTATCCCAATGCTTGCTGCATCTTCTCAGAACCAAGCCAGTTCTGACCCAGATGATGGGAGGTCACCTGTAAGTCATGCTAATAAAATGTATCATGTTTCCAGAGCATCCATGTAATCCAACACACTTCCTGACTCATGTTACAAAGATTGTTTTAGAATATTTATCTTCCTTTCCAACCGTTCAGACCGATTCATGCTTCATTAGAAACTCAGTCAATTTCCTCTTCCTACTGGCCTAACAAAGCTGATGTCCGAGCACCTGGCAAGCCACGGTGACCTGGTTCATCTATAATGCAAAGCTGCAATTTAGTTGTTTTGGTTTTGTGGTAATACAAGATGTGAACCCATTATGTCCTTAACAAGCCCTGTTGTGACTGCGGAGATGCCTTTGGCTTAATGATTCAGAAATTGCACAGTCCAGCTATGTATGTTTGGTAGGCTGATGTCTGTTTTTCTTTTAGTCCAGCTCTGAAATCCACAGGCTGGTTCAGGGAAAGTTACTAATTGACCAATGACCATTATCCACATTTTTCTACTAAAAATAATCTGCCTACAAGTAGAAAATAAAAATACAGTGTAGTTTGGTGTTGGGGTTAGACAGCCAGTGTGGTGTAGTGGTGAAAATACTGGAGAAACCCAGGTTCTAGTCCCTCCTCAGTCACAGAAGCTCACGGGGTGACTTTGAGCCAACCCCTCTCTCTCAACCCAAAAGCTAGTGTGATCAGGTGTTGGACTAGGTGCAGGGAGACCAGGTCAAGTCCATCCTCTATCATGGAAGCTCCCTCAGTGACTTTGGGGCAACTACTCTCTCACCACCCTACCTATCTCACAAGGTTGTTGTGGTGAGGAGAAATGAGAGGACAGGGCGCTACATACACCACCTTGAGCTCATGAAGGAAAGACAGAACAAATTCTGTTCGCCTCCTCCCTTAGTAGCTTGTAGGTTTGCAACATATAAGGAAATATGCCATGAACACAGTATGGTGTAGTGGTTACAGTGTTGGCCTTACATGGAAGAAAGTTGCATTTTAGCTTTTCTCAGCCCAGCCTACTTCACAGGTTTGCTGTTGTGGCAACAATAGGGGAAGGATAAAAATCTAGTAAATAAACAAGTTTTTCATTAATCCGGGATACAAAACCAAGCATTAGAACAATAATGCTATTTTCAACAGACAACAGTGAATATTTGCAAACAAATGCTTTGGGTTCAAGGGCAAACCCCTGGTGCAGAATTCATGAGGCCACAAACTAACACTCGTCTGCTACTCTTTAAGGCAGCTGTGTCTTTTCCCAGATTGTGTGGCTCAGGAAAAGTTACACAAGGAGATGCAGACTGATGTCTGCTTTCGAATCCAAAGTGCCAGAGTCTTACTAAGCAGTGTCTGGAATGAAAAAAATTTCAGTAATCATCTGAATGCAGATAAAAGGAGAATTCAGCAGTTCTCTCTTGCCTGGGAGAATAAACTTCCTGCTCCTGATCTTATAGGACAAGCAGGATGGATCCAGATACCCTTAACAGGAGTTGCTTCTTCCACTGGCTCTTGGGCATACCTTTATCATGTCTACTCAATCACCAACATGAGGAGATGGAGGTCCCACCAGCAACACACTGACCAATGGTTTTACCCCTTGGTAATTCTGCCACTGTCATGGCCCCAAAGCAACCTCTATAGCCACTACACAAGCTTCTGAAGAAGCCCCTTGACAAAGAAGTGAGAAAAATGGGTGGTAAGGTTCTCGGAGCATCACTCCAAGTTGTAAGCTCTTTCACTGCTCTTTCCCTCAGCAGCTCTTTCCCTCAGCAGCTCTTGCTGGGTATATAGACTTCAGTAAACACCATATTTTGTTGCACAGCAATGATATGACTGTCTGGATCATTTTTTTCCCCTTTTGCAGGAACCGCCTCGGTTGCTATAGCAGGAATCTTTGCTGCCTTAAGAATTACAAAGAACAAGCTTTCTGACAATAAGTTTGTCTTCCAAGGAGCGGGAGAGGTAGGATTCTGATTTGCTTCTAAGAGGAACAGGGTTGGGTGGCTACCTGTCAGCCTTGCAAGGTAGTCCAGACAAGAAGCACACCCAGAAATACTAGCTCTACTTTATTATAGGGTGGTTGTAAGGCTACATTAAAAGGATCTTGCAAGCTGGAAAGTACACTGAATCTTTAAGACTGCTAGTCTTGTCCTCCATGAATTCACCCAATCTCCTTTTAAAGTTCACCAAATTAGTGGCCATCACCATGTCTTGTGATAATGAGTTCCCCAACTTACACACATGAAGAAGTACTTTTTTTTCTGTTTTAAAATCAGTTTCATTGGATGATCCCTGGTGGTTCTAATCTTTTGAAGGACAGAGAAAAATATCTCCCTGTCTACTTTCTCCATGCCAGGTATGATTTTATATACCTGTTATGTCCCACCTAAATCATATTTTTTCAAAAATAAATCCTACACTCTCTCAAGATCCTTTGGTGAGGAACATTATCAAAAGCCTTTTGAAAATCCAAGTAGTCAACACTCTCAAATATGGGAAATCAATGTGCTCCTCCCGACCAAAATCCTGCATAAGCTTCCTTATTCCTGTTTGTCCTCCTGTTCACTTGCCTTGATTGTAAGCTCCCAACTGTTTTTCCTCTTTCCGAAAAGTGCTGGTTGAACTGAGAAATGTAACTCCACCCACCAACTGATCAGTTGATCAGCGAATCAGTTTCAGCCATAACCTCTTCCAATAATATATTCAATAAGCAAATACATACCCCATGTCTCACCAGCATTTGACAAAATTATCTGTTCCTATTTGCCATCCTGTTTACTCTTTCTGGCCATTATTTATTTATTTATCAAATTTATACGCTGCCCATCTCACTATACAAGTGCCTCTAGGCAGCTTACAAATAAAAAAGCAATAAAAACAATAAAAATATTATATATACTGTACATATAGGGTTAAAAGACGGGAAGAGTGTCCTCAAACCCCCATCCACCACCAGTGCTGTGAGCCAACAGTCATGAGCTCCCAATAGTCCCAGGGACTTCTTTCAATATAAGGCCATTCCTCCTGTTATAAGGAAATAATTTTCTGCTTCTTTCCAGGCGGCTTTGGGTATTGCTCACCTAATAGTTATGGCACTAGAGAAAGAAGGAATTCCCAGAGAAGAAGCTGTTAAGAAAATCTGGATGGTAGACTCGAAAGGACTCATTGTCAAGGTAATTGTCAGCCCTTCAAGATAGGTCAGGTCAAGAAATAGACACCACAGGGATTCCAGGAACACTACAGGTGGTCCTCACTTACCAGCGGTAATTGGAACCAGTAACTCCGTCGCTAAGTGATATAAGGCACAATGTCACATGACTGCACTGACGACAGCAGTTCCGGTAGTCCCAGTTGCTGTTGTGAGGCGAATCCTGCATGGTCACAGTGTCCTGCAGTTATGTCATCACCATGTGCAACCTCCGGCTGGCTTCCCCATTGGCTTTGCTTGTCAGAAGCCAGCAGTGAAGGTCGCAAATGGCGATCACGTGGCTGTGGGATGCTGTGATGTTGTAATTGCGAGCCGGTTGCCAAGTGCCCAAATTGCAATCATGTGACCACAGGGACACTGCGACGGCTGCAATTACTAGGACCCATCATAAGTAGTCCTTGTTCAGCACCATTGTAACTTTAGCAACAGGATCTTGAAAATCTGTCTCATAGAGTTTCTCTCTGTCTCATCTTATACTAAACAAAATCAAGGTGGGGTTATTCTGAGTTTCTTTCTCATGCCTGCTTCAATCCGTGGGCTATGTAATTTCTTCTGGAAGTCCCTCCTTAATGATTCTTTTGTACCTTCTCCAAGGTCATCTCTAAATTCCTTTCAGTGACTCAGACATTGGTCTCAGTGCTTTCCTCCAGATATATTAGGACTGGAATATAATTGCCACCCAGCATGGGAACTGTAGTTGTTACACTCTTAACACTTCTGTAGGTGCAAGACTGGGGAAGGCTCACATATAGAAATTCTAGCAGATACTCTCCTTGCAAAGACAGCATTTTGAGAATGGTGAAGATGATGTAATACAGGTAGTCCTTGTTTAGCGAACACAATTGGGACTGGCAATTCAGTTGTTGAGCAAACAGTTGCTAAGTGAAACATCACAATTTTCAGCTTCCTTTGCTTTACAGACCTGCAAAGGTCATAAATGCAAGGACTGGTCACAAAGGTACTTTTTCATCACCATCATAACTGTGAACACTAAACAAGGCAGTCCCTAAATGAGGACTACCTGTAATGCTTTTTCTGCCTTTCAGTGAAAATGAGTAACTTCTAAGGCAATCGTAAGCTAACTGAATTAATAATAAATGTGGAAGGGAAGCTGTTTTGCAAATTTTTAATAGGATTACTGTAAATACTTTGTCTTCCACAGAAAGAGAGAGAGGTAATACCAATGTAGCATCAATACATGACTTGCCAGCATATTTGTTTGTAACTCATGACTGCAACAATGCATTTAATGTTGAGTGAAGAATTTACTTTGGCCACCCTCAGAATCCTATCTGTCTAACTCTTTGGAAAACTTGGGTCCAGATCCCAAAGGCTTCTGAACCAGACAAGGATTATGTGTTCAGATTTCTTACTCCCTGCCTTCCCAATACCTAGGGCTTGGTGTGAGTAACAACATTTTTAAAAAATATAGAATAAAATATTCCATAGATATAAAAATAGCATGCCAATTCATAAATTATTCAGACTATTCAGGCTTTTTACTATGGCCATCAAGACAATATATTAAATGACTAACCAGCTGCTTTTCAGAAAATGGTGACTCTCCAGGAAGAATGAGTTTGGCCCAGTTTTGTTGAGTTATCACCAAGAATGAGTCTTTCATAAATCTAATCTCCAGATCCATAATGCTGGAACAATGGCTTGCTTCAGTCTTTTCTTTACCTGTATAGATGTTTGCCTGTGTTCTGTTGTCTCCCAGGGCAGGAGTCACCTGAACCACGAGAAGCAAATGTTTGCTCATGACCACCCCACTGTGAAGACGCTGGAGGACGTGGTGCGGACAATAAAACCAACAGCTATTATTGGTAACTGTTCCAGCTTCCCTGCAGGATTTTCTCTGCTGCTTCCATCCTATTTTCATGCCTTCCTGTTGTAAACTTTGATGCTCACTTTTAAGCTGCAGTTATGTGGAGCAAGTTATGGGTACCCAACAGGGGATAGTCAGAAAAGTCAAGATGAGGCAGGAGTGCTTGATTGAAGCCACACCCACTTTTTCGATGCTTTATATATAGGGTAGAGTTTCAGTCACATGATTTTGGTTGCCATTTTGACTTTTTGATCCCACTCCCACCCTCACAGAAACTCCTGGGGTGAGTTTTCAGTTCAGTGTCGTGGAATAGGGCACAAATTCCTTATTCATGTGGAGGGCAGGCAGGCATATCACTGCAGAAATGGGGTGAAATATTACTGGTATAGTCTTGTTATGTGATAGCAGAAAGGTGGGGCTGGGTTCACATAACAAAATTACCCAGATTCTATAAAGGCTAAGGAGATGCATTCATGCAACATACTCAACTTGCTTGGGGTTAACTTTAGATTGTTCTTGGTGACTTGGTGGATTGATGGTACATGTGAACTTAGCCAGGGTCACTTATGAACCCAGAAAATTAGTTCATCTAGAAATTGGGTTAAGCATACTGTACATGTATATTTAGTCTGTGGTGTCCTACTTAAGCTGCTGTGATATCATCAGGAATCATCAGAACTCGGACTGGATGCTGTCCAAACTGAGCATGATGTATCAAGTTAGCAGTTTGAAGCTTTTTCTCTACGTTACAAAGTTTCTCACTTTCTGACTAGGAACTGACTGTTGGAACTGGTTATTGGACTCTCTAAATTTCGAAAAACTGTAAAATATTTCCTGGAATTTTCCCTGAGTAACATGTCTTACTGTAATATTGGAGAAGAAAAAGAAAATTATGCTTTGAAAAGAAGGATTGTGGTGGTCAACTCCATCAGGAGCCTGGTCTTAGAATTTCTGTGTCCAGAATTCTTGCTGGAATCTTGGAAATGGTAGTCCACTACATCTGGAGGTCTCCAGCTGGGAAAGGCTGGATTATAGGTTTTTGGGCAACATGTTCATCCATTTCAGTGAAGGTGATAGCTCAGCATTGGACATCACTCTGCCTAATTCTTCTTTGAAATGAAGCTGACTTGGCTGATCCTGAAAAGCTAAACAGGAGCAGGCCTGGTTAGAGTTGGATGGGAGGCCACCTAAGTCTACGGCTGTAGGCTAGACTCGGAAGTAGAAAAAACAACTGGAAGAAGGCTTTGCGCTTTGTATTATACCCAGAAACCTATTGGCAATATGTGTGTATTATGACTCAGACAGTTCTGTCCTATTAGTAAGCAGAAGGCTACATTTTTGTACCAATTGTAGTTTCTAAGTTGCCTTCAGTGGGAGCTTCATGTAGAATAATATGCAGTAGTGCAAACACAGGCATTATTTTTTGTTTTTTACGTTGTCGCATATTTGTATCTCCCACTTCCATAAAGACCGCAGCCCAATGCAACAACCCCAAGGGTTTGAAAAACCTGAGAGATACCGGCTGAGTTTGTATCACACACTTAAGCAGCTTAAGACATAGCTGCACATAATATTCTAAAAGCATGCATAGTTGGTTAAGGTTTTTTATGGCTTGGTAGATTGCACAAAACCAGTGTGATTGCTTAGCTTATACTTCATCATTTGTGTGAACCCAGAACATGGGTAAATTCACTTCTCAGGTAAAGCATACTGTCTGAGCACAACAATGATCTTCCATCCAGCCATGAACTCTGTTTTCTCCTATTTGTTCTCTTTCTTCAAAAAATCCTGAAGGTGTAGCTGCAGTTGCAGGAGCTTTTACTCACCAGATTTTGAAAGACATGGGGACTTTCAATGAGAAGCCAGTTGTGTTTGCCCTCAGCAATCCAACAAGCAAAGCAGAATGCACGGCTGAAGATTGTTACCGCTTGACAGATGTAAGTCTGCTCTTATTGAAGCTTCCAACTAGGCAATTTTGCTGCCACAAAGGCCACTGTTGGAGGCCAAGCTTGTCTTTCAGGCGTTTTTTTTGTCTGCGCTCAGTCATTACTGATCCTGCAGTGACTGCTTGGACGAGTCCTTGCAGTTTTCAAGGCAATTGTTTCGGAAGTGGTTTGCCAGAGCCTCCTGCCTAGAGCAGAGCCCAGCTGGCGAGCGCAGGAGGTGGGGTTTCCGTTGCTTTGCGCCCCTTTTCGGGCGAGCGTGGTTTCGCGCTTACCAGCAACTGCTCCCGACTCCCATGCAAGCGCCGCCAGCATTTTTCCTCCCACTGGAGTGAGAGTACCCATTTATCTACTCACG